TGTCCTTCTTCAACCCCAAACCACACCAGCCCTGTCACCTCCCGCCCTCGTGAAGCCTCCGAGCTCTGGTGGCCATGAGCTCCCCAACACAAAAGCTGGGTGGGAGGAGATGGGGAGCCCGCACCAACCTGTGACGTGGGCTGTCACCGGAGAAGACAGCTCCTCCACCGTCTCAAAGAGCTTTTTGTAGCCTCCAGCAGGATGCTCCACTCTGAAAGGAGCAGCAGACATGGAGTTAACTTGGTTTTGGGATCGCTTTGGAAACCCCCAATGATGGAGGGGTTTTTTTTCCTGAAGAGACTGATCTGGGACTTGTAAATAACATGAGAGATCAGGAGGATTCCCAGGGCTGTGACCAGTTACTGCAGCCACCTGCGACCTGGCTGGAGCACACAGAGGAACAGGGAACACCAAGGGGACAGCCCCTGCTGCAGCCCTGCAGGCAAAGACCCTCACCCAGGGGACAAATTCAGGATATCTTGAATCATCAGGAAGCAAAATCCAACTTGTATCTCCTGGGTCTTTGATAAGCAATTTTTTTTCCTCCTTTTTTTTTTTTTTTGAGCTCAAGTGAGTGGCTGAGAAAGTTCCACCTACACCAGGTACAGACCATCCTCTGGTCCCTGGAGCTGAGCCTGTCCCCTGGGGGCCAGAATCCCACCATGGCATGGGACGGACCAACATGGACACCCCCTAGCCTCACAGCAACCCCCTGGCCACGCCGGCGATGGGTGACCTCCTCCTGGAGAAGAAAACCTCAGGAATACTCACTGGCTGTACATTTTCTCCCCGATGAAGGGCCCGAGGCTCCAGCAGCCAAGACGCAGCGAACGCAGTGTGCTGGGTATTTATGGGGCACTGGGTATTTATGGGGCACTGGGCCCCACAACAAAACCACCTCCCCCTCCCCTGCCAATGAGCCCACCCCAGGAACAGAGCCGGCTTTCACCGCCAAAATCCTCCCCGGGGCTTTGAGAGGTTTTTGTTTTGTCGTTCGCACAAAAAAGGGCTTTGAATGTTTTTCTCAGACCTAAATTCTTCCCAAGCAAAAGTGATTACAAAAGGAAAAAAAAAAAAAAAAGGAAAAAAAAAAAGCAAAAAAGGGGGGAAAGAATCAAAAGATGACAAGCACGGGGAAGAATTTAAAAAAAAAAAAAAAAAAGAAAAAAAAAAAAAAAAAAAAAAAAGGAAAAAAAAAAGCCAGAAAGGAGTGAAATGGAGCGCACTGGAGTCACGGCGGGTGCTTGGCACGGCCACTCGGCTCCTCACCACGCCGTGGGGACACCTTCCCGGCTCCAACAGACCCTGGGCTGCCAGAAACTGCTCCTTCCTGCAACAGCATCTCGGTGCCGAGTGATGGAGCGCGGCCACATCACCTCAGAGTGGGGGGACTTGAGAGATACTAAGAGATAAGAAGACATTGGTGTCAAATATTATCATTCCTAGCTCCCATACACACCAGCCACCAGCTTCTTCCTCCATCTTGGGCCTCTGTAGAAGACCATCTTTGCAAGGTTCAGCACCTTGGTACAAGCACAAGACCAAATCCCTGTCCACCAGCTGGGAGGGTGTCAGGGAGCATCATAGAACCATAGACATTTAGAGAAGAGAAGGAAGGTTTCTTGGAAAAGACGTTTCAGATCATGGAGTCCAACCATCAACCCAGCACTGCCCAAACCCCCACTGACCCAGGTCCCTCAGCACCACCTCTGCCCAGCTTTGAAATCCCTCCAGGGATGGTGACTCCACCACTGCCCTGGGCAGCCTCTGCCAAGGCTTCACAACTCTTTTGGGGAAGGTATTTTCCCCAATATCCATCCTAAACCTCCCCTGGGGCAACTTGAGGCCGTTTCCTCTTGTCCCATGGCCTGTTCCTTGGGAGAAGAGACCGACCCCCCCTGGCTACACCCTCCTTTCAGGGAGTTGGAGAGAGCGAGAAGGTCTCCCCTCAGCCTCCTTTTCTGGAGCTCCTGAGATGTGAGGAAGGGCTTTTGGACAGCTGCTGTCAAGCAACACCCCCAGGTCCTTTTCCACCAGGCAGCTCCAGCCACTCTGCCCCAGCCTGGAGTGTCCGTGGGGTTAGTGTGACTCAAATCCAGCCACTCTGCCCCAGCCTGGAGCGTCCGTGGGGTTGGTGTGACTCAAAGACAGGACCCAGCTCTTGGCCTTGTTGAACCTCACACCACTGACCTTGGCCCATGCATCCAGCCTGGCTAGACCCCTTTGTAGAAGCCTTCCAACCCTCCAGCAGGTCAACTCTCCCACCCAACTTGGTGTCTTCTGCAATCTGACTGAGGATGCACTCCATCCCCTCATCCCAGTCACTGATAAAGGATTTCAGAAGGCGGTAAATTTCTTAAGTCTAATGCACATAAAGTAGTATTTTTCACAGGGGTTGTCACCAGCCCTACCTACTCAGAGGGACGTCAGAGCTGACCACCCTCTCTTTGATGGGCAGGACAGCAGTCACTCTCAGAGACGGCTCCACAAAAGCATCTCTTTCAAGAGCAGACGTTTATGAAAACAGCGGTGCTGTGATTTCAGAGATTAACAAGATTAGGAAGATTACTGCTCTCCCCCTCACGGGCAGCCCATGGCATGAGATGAGGACATTTCATAATGCCATGGACCTGGGCGTGCTCCTCCCATAGGGCAGAAATGATCAAAACATCCGTCAAAGGAGAAAAATAGACATTAAATATCCCCATGTTAGATTTCCTACTACAACTAGTAAGTGAAACTTGGGCTTGCTTTTCTTTACAAGACAAAGCATTTCTTTTTGGAATGAGGGTTCATTTAAGGCTTCTAACCAAAAAACTAAGATACTGTTGAGCCTTTGTGAGCTCTTTGACTGAGGCCTCCAATTAACCCTTCATATTAAACAACCTTAATTATATGGTAATTTGTCTGGGAAAGCAACAAATAGATTCAATATAAATTTGAGTGTGAGCTCAAGGCCTCTCAGCAGTGCAAATAACGTGGAGATTTTTAATTAACCCCAGAATAAGGACTCAAAACAGTGTCCTAATCTTTGATGTCATGAAAATGCAGTGTTTCCATAGTAACATCATCTTCCCAGGCCCCATCCTCCAACTCCAGTGGCTTTGGAGGTGTTCAAGACTCAACATGGTGCCGAGTAACCCAATTTAGACAGACCCGTTTTAAACAGGGTTTGGACTAAATCAGACTTGATATTAGGAAGACATTCTTTGGTGGGAGGGTGGTGAGAGCCTGGCCCAGGTTGCCCAGAGAAGCTGTGGCTGCCCCATCCCTGGAAGGGTTCAAGGCCAGGTTGGAGGGGGCTTGGAGCAACCTGATTTTTAAAAAAATAAAAGCTTCCAGTAAAAAAAATCACTCAAGAAAAAGTGACAGCTCAAAGAAAGGTTTAAATTAAAACTAAGTATGTACCTCTCATTCATCTGAAATGCTTTACTTGCCCTATAACTAGTCAATCAGTCCACTTATTGACATTTTTGCTAATTTTTGTCAAAACCTTAGAAGGGAACATTAAATAACATGGATCAAGGACTCTGAATAATGAGAGCAGTCCTTTGAAAGCTAAATCCCAAGAAATGCAAGCTTCTCGCCTACTAAGTTGCTTAACTGGAACACACAAATAAATAAATAAAGCATTTACACAACACTGAACAGGTTGAGAATAGTCAGAAGCAAGTTTAGATACTGGGTTTTTCAAAAAAAGCCATCAACTACAGAGGATGAACATCTGTCACCTACCGTGGAAGCCTAAAGTTACCCACAGGACGTCAAAGAATTACAAGGATTGGCTAAAACTGGACTCATCTTGGTTCCTCATTTACAAAGTTTTCCTCCCCAGAAGGACAAGGGCAATAAGACACATTGCAAAATAGTTATTGTGCCAGATATACCCCAGTTTCCAGTTCTCAACCCAGACCCATTCCTAGCTCTCTACGAGATGCCAAAAAACGCCAATCCAGGCAAAGAGATGAGATTTGCTTTACTTTTAATTGTGATGGCTGGTTTTATAACAATTAGTGTAAGAGTCTGCACGCGCAGCTACAATGACAATTCAGTTTCTCGTCCCAGGAATGGACGTGACACAACACTCACCTCACTTACCTCAGAGAGGTAAGAAAGACTTGGACACAGGAAGAGACAACTAAAGAGCTCACATGAAAGAAAAGCCAAATGTACCTTCTTCTGCAGTCCAGTGCTTGCAGCCCATCCCTTCCGTTTTCCTGCAAACACAGCCAAAATAAGCAGAGTTTTAGACCTATCTAGAAGGGATATTACTACTGAAGTGTAACACAGACACAAATTCCTCACAACAAACCCCAATTCCGATGCTGCTCCAGTTGCAGAATGGTTTCAGCATATGGCATGTTGATGTGATGATACGAGCTTAAATAAACCTTTCACTGATGAGCAAGGTGAAAGTCTTGCAATTTACTCTGTTAAGAGGAAAGGGATTTTTTTTTTTGTTTACATTAATTCTTATTTAAAATTCCCTTGACTGCCTAGGTGTTGCCCCTGCACACTCTCAGCGTATCTTTGGGAACACAAACAAAAGGATTTTGGGCTTCCCTTTTTCACAGATGGGAGAGAAAAGTCCCCATTTCTCTCCAAGCCCAGAAATAAACACTGACACCATTCACCACTTCTCACTTTATACTTTTTTGCCCGAAGGATTCCTGTCTAAATATTAACATTTCCGAAAACACTTACTTTGAATTGTTCTCTCACAGAAACACGCGTGCAGATTTTTATACTCCTGTGGGGAAGCCTTGGTCCCACCAGAATTAATAGCAAACCCCTAACTCTGGAAACAAAATAGGAAAGTTTAGTGTATTCTGATTCTATTTGTTTTCATACGCTCACGTATCATCCATCTCTTTCATTATTTTGAGAAGCATAGCAATAGATCCAAAATAAGTTTTCCATTAAAGTGTCAGAAATATACCTATGACTTTTAATAAATACATAAAAGCTCATGTAACTTTTACAGATGAGATGAACACATATTTTACAGAGTCAGATAATCATTTATTTATGGTGAATTCTGGCTCCCTTGGAGACAGAATCACCTCTTAAATTAGTCCCATTGTTTTGTTTAAAGACAAATATTTTGAGGAAGGCACTTATACACAACATACGGACATTTAAACAATGCAAACTCTTAATAAATGGCACAAATTCCTGAATTAGAGACATTAGAGAAGTTACAACAATATGCATATCATTAGTTTCCCATATGAAAATTATATATAGATTTTTGGTTATAATAGCTTCATGCTTATTTTCACATTTATTTTCCAAATACAATACATTGGAATAACTTGTAAACAGATAAATATTTATTTCTCTCTTAGCAGTCATTTAAAAGTTACCTGCACACACACACACAAACACCAACTTATTTTGGCACCTTTCAACATAGTGTCCTTGTAAACATTTCTTCCTTCTGCACACATAGGCACCACCAAACTTCTGAAGCAAGTGCCCTTTGGTAAATCCATTACCCATCCAATAAATAAGTGGCTGAAGTGGGGTTAAGTTAATATCTCAGGCTACGAAATCTGGGTTTTCTTAGGCTGAGCATGGGTTGTTTGATGGTAGGTTTGTTCTCAAATAGCACTGCTTCGTTTTCTGTAGTTGGGAATCTGTTCTGGTAGATCAGAGGGTATTCCTTCTGAAACTATAAAATACAAAAAGCAAGAATTAAAAGAAAATATCAGACTCCACACAAAACCTCCAGCTGTGCAGGGCTTGAGCATCAATCACTTCGTAAGGATGTGTATCAGCAGGAGGAGCGAGACCATCAGCCTGTAAAGCAACTCTGAGCTTTGACCAAAGCTGGAGCCCTTTGTTCACAACTGATAAACAACCAGTCAAATAGAAATTTTATCAGGTGCCTCATCTGCTGCTGAAATGAGAAAAGCTTCTGAGCTCATTCCCAAGGATTTTTTGACATTTTGCCTGTTTCCTATGTAAGGCCTCAGGAAGGAAGAATGGTACCTACATCTATGCATCAGCCACAGCTTTCCCCTGATGGAGTCAAATTATGGAAAATAACACCATTTGTAACTTCGGGCAATAACTCAAGTTGGGACTAACCCTCTGGAAATTGCCATGTATTTGACTCTTCCCAACTCAAAGCAACAAAACTGAATAATCACTCCAAAAAGCTGTGATTTATCACACCACTAGCTATCCCAGCACAAATGGTGAGACTCTAATGACATATAATAAGACTAATGATATAGCTCTGTGAATTTTAAAAATAAACCTTTGCTAACCTGGGCCCTTACAGCACAAGCTGCTTCTGGACTTCTGTGGGAACTCATCAAAACTTTTATGTATGTACTTCAAGTTTTAATACTAGAGATTTTAGTTTATTTCCTTCCTCCCTGCTTCACCTGCTGCTCTGTATCATTTCTTACTGCTTGCTTACTCCAAGCTTTAATCAACAGTAATTAACTACTCTTCTTTACATGCAAGAAGTGTTAATGAATTTGAACAAAAGTCCAGCCTTCATTTTTATGGGACCAGAAAGTTTTTATCACTCACATGAAATTCAGAGCTGCAGGAGCTGGGTGAGGGGCACCAAAGAGAAAGAAATGTGCTTGCTCTGAAAAGCTGCTTTCTCAAATTTGAGTCACAAGACTTGCTTAGGGGATTCCAGGACAAGTACAACACTATTCAATTGGTCAGAAACACTTGCCAGAGGTTTTCCAAAAAAGAAAAAAAAACAAACAACACAACAACCCTCAGGTTTTAAATCCTGCCAGAATGGCTGTATTTTAGATTTAGCATTAGGCAATGTGTTAGTAGGCCACCGAAGTGCCAGATAATCTTGAGCAATATACATGTTACAAAACACAACGCAAAGTCCACAGGAAAGATTGTTTCAGGATTGTGGACAGAGAGAGCTTGGCCTCGTAAAGCAAAAAAAAAAATAAAAAAAAAAATAAAAAAAAATCACTACTTTTATTGCCTATCGATTTTAAGCCAATAGGCAACTTTAGTCTTTATAAGATAGTCTTTAAAATCCCAATCACAGCATGCAATCACATCAAAGAAGTTGCTTCTCCAAAACAGGTATCTCTGTGCACCCTGCTCCAGAGTCCAGTGACTGAGATCCTTCCCTCACAACGATGTTTTCCGTTGATGTGGATGCAATATCCACTGAGTTCCTCACCTGTTTTAACTTCTTCTTTTTGTCTTTCACAGACAAGTTCTTATCTTTGATGATGTTCTCCAAGAGCTCTGCCACCGCAGCTTGAGAGGTAGAAACTTTTTGTTCTTCAAACTCCTGAGGGGTTATTTGTTTGCAGTATGAGTATGTTGGCAATATGGCACAAATTTCATCCTTTGGGTATTTGCACTGTAAGAAAAGTTGAAGAAGTGGTCTGTGTATTCTCACAGAATCACACGGGGTTAGGAGGGACCTCTGGAGATCATCTCCTCCAACCCCCTGCCAGAGCAGGTCCACCCAGAGAAAGTTGCACAGGAATGTGTCCAGGCAGGTTTGAATGTCTCCAGAGAAGGAGACTCCACCACCTCTCTGGGCAGCCTCTTCAGGGCTCTGCCACCCTCACAGGAAAGAAGTTCCTCCTCATGTTGAGGTGGAACTTCTTATGTTCCAGTTTGTGCCCGTTTCCTCTTGTCCTGTCACTGGGCACCACTGAAAAAAGACCAGCCCCATCCTCCTGACACCCTCCCTTTAAGTATTTATAGGTGGTGATCAGTTCCCCCCCTCAGTCTTCTCTTCTCCAGACTAAATAGACTCAAGTCCCTCAGCCTTTCCTCATAAGAGAGATGCTTCAGGTCCCTCATCATCTTTGTAACCCTCTGCTGTACCCAATCCAGCAGTTCCCTGTCCTTCTGGAACTGGGGAGCCCAGAACTGGACCCAGTACTGCAAATGTGACCTCACCAGAGCAGAGGTGGAGGATGACCTCCCTTGACCAGGACCCCATCTTCCTGATGCCCCCCAGGATGCCATTGGCCTCCTTAGCTACAAGGGCACATTCCTGGCTCATGGACAACCCGTTGTCCACCAGGAATCTCAAATTATTATATACTATTTCAGTGAGAAGATACTTAGCAAACGTCCAAACAAACCAATGTACAGTGACATCACAAGTTGCAAAACTTTATCAAGTAGCAAATACCTAGGCCTACACCAACAGTGTAATTATTAAACTTTGCATTCAAAATATAGGCTTATTCTTCCCATTCACCTTCAGAAGTAAGAAATACCCTGCAATCAGCAACTGAAATTAAGCTTCTGTCATGCCACCAACCTGAGCCATCTTCATGTATTCTATGTGATCTCGCACCGCGACCTGCAGGTAAGTTGGCACCTTAAATATTTCCTGTTGGTGGTCCATCAGAAAGGAAACTAATCGCGTAGAAAGCAGCTCATCAAGATCTACTTCTTCTGCGCAGCACAGCACGCACCGAGAGAAGGTCTGTATCATCTACAAGTGTTTAACAGCTCGTTAGTAGGCGCAGGGGAGGGATTTGCTGCTTTGCCATGAATTCTCCATCACCAAGTCTCACTGCCATCTCTCTTGCCTGCACCACTGGTCAAGCGAGGAGGAAAAATGACTATAATTTTTTGCTCATCTGAAAGAAAGGAACTTCTTACAACATTAGATTTGTACCTTTTTGAACAGCAATACATATTTTAGAAAGGTAATAAGAAAGTCTTCCCCTGTGGAAAAGTGTCCACCTTCAATTACCCACCTTAAGTGAGATGATAAAGAAAACCCTGCAGAGCCCACCTAAGCAAGACCTAATGCACACCAAGAGCCAGTTTTAAATACTTCTAAAAAAAATTTTTCCAACTTTCATATTTCCAGCTTTTAGTAGGCTTAATTTAAATTATCATGTGCAGGTTTTGTTGCTTTATTTAATGCTATTTGACAAAAATTTTAAATTCAGAGCTTGAAGCTAGTCTTTAAGCTCAACAGGCAGAGAATTCCTTTCTTTGGAACTCTTTTGTCATAACTTCACCTACACAAATGTTTAGCCCAAGAAAGGTTTTCTACAGACACTTTTCCAACACCTTTTAAGTTAAATGGCGGTTGGGTGAGACATCAGACTGAGAACACAAGTCTCTCACCAAGGAACGCGTGCCCATGGCATCGTGCAGCCGTGGCATATCGACGTTTTCGCTGATGCGAGAGATCATCCGCATGAGGAGCTGCATCTTCCTACGATTCGGTGGTGGAAGCAACAAACAACAGATCTGTAGTGCTTCGACAGCAATTCTCTCTAAATGAGGCTGAAGCAGATCTACAAGTTAATGGTAAAGACAGCTGTCATTAAGATTTGAACCAACTTTTGGGATGCTTTTATCTCAGTACAAGAAATTTCTTTCATTTTTTGAATTATGATAATCCATGTTTCACAGAAATCAGCTGTAACATAGTAGATAATGTTATGTAGCCACTTTTTGCATGGTCATCTTCAACTTGCTTCATTATGATAAACTGCTGGTACAATTAGGACCTTAATACAAATAAGAAATGACACTAATGTTATTCCCAGAAGTATTTCTCCTCCAACAGGCAGGTCTGGGCCCGTTCTCTGCCTCACCCTTAGCCAGTGTTTAGGGCAGAATTACTTATCACTTACCTGAAAGGTGAATTTCTGACGTGTCAAGTTTAAGGCTCCAAAGACACTACACACTATTATTTGTTAGCAGAGGTACAAAGGGCTACCTTTAAACAGCGTAATTTAGCAAACAGAATTATTATTTTTTTTTTTAATTCATGTTATATGCATATCAAAACCCATAGCAATAGTGCCAAAGGTTAAGGAAGCAGAGATTAGTTAGTCAACACAATAAGGCAATACAACATGCTTTAGAAGCCACCTTACTTTGCGTGCCACTCAACACACAAGAAGAGCGAGGGAAAGAGCATTCTGAGAGTTCTACGGTACTTTTGCTGAGTCTCTTACTGATGGTGAGATCAGAACCCTCAGTCTTGATGTCCACCGAAGAAACCACACCAGAGGTGTTTGGTTTTCCTGACCCACAAAGTCGAGGCTGTGGCTTTACTGTGATTTCAGCAACTGGTACATTGATACTAGAACAACTTTTCGAGTTCCTCTTGCCAAGTAAACTCAGCGACCTGCGTATTTGCTTCAACCTGCAATTTTCATTAAACAGCTCTTTATCCTGAAGAGTTGAGGCAGAAGCTCTCTTGATACCATGGGCTTGGGTTTGACGTGCTTTATCAAAACCAAGCTCCAATACAGAATCAGCTTTATGTTCGTACGGTACTGATTGTTTTCCATTTCTTGTGCCCAGGATGGTGTTCACATCACTTTGCCTGAGGCAACTGGATTCTCCTTTATTATATACATTTGAAGTAGTGTCTCCAACTGTTTCCAGAGAGTAACATCTCATCCTAAATGTTTGAGGTGGGTCTTGTTCATTCCTGAAACCTGAAAGATTTTGACAGCTTCCTCCTATCTGATTATCAGCGCTACCTCGTTCACGCGTCAAATTGCGTTGCTGCAATTTCTTTACAAATTGTTTTTGAAAAGTTAACTCTTCTGAAGAAGACTTCCTGGAAGCGTCATATTCTGTCTGGTTTTTGTCAGGCTCTTTGCGAAGTAGGCTTAGAAGAAGACACTCAGTTGACTTGAAAGAGTTCAAGTGAAGAATTTTTGAAGGTTGTGGGTCACATTTCTCATCTTGGACAGAATGTTTTCCACTGCATATATCTGGAATTGTGATGTAGCCACATATAACTATCAGAAAATGAAATAGAAGTTAAGATGCAAGTGGTATGAAAATGAACACGTCCAGAAAAGAAAGCTGCTAACTAGACAGAGAAGACAACAAATATAAGAGACTAATTTATAGTTGACTCTGTTAGTAAAAACTAAGAAAAATTTAGCTCAGTCCAAAAGCGATCTAACAAGGTAACAGCACCCAACATGCAAGAATAAAGAAAGGTAACATACAGCAGCAGTGAGGGACAGACAGGAACGGGCGCATCTTTTTAAGTTATGGTTACTGCATATTTAGAATGTTAGCTCAGACAGCAATTTATATCAGATATTATAAGACAGAAGTGCATTTCAATTAATCTTGTCATGCAGAATCACAGCATTGATGATCTCCCTCAGATTCAAGTTACCATACAAACTAGGGGGTGAAGCTCTGATTTGAATTTGTTTCCCAGCTGACAAAAAGCTTACACCTTGCTCTGGTTATTTCTAAAATCATACATACCTAAAATATTAACAAAAAGTTCATAGTATTCAAAAGTAAGTAATGGTTCAGGGAGACTGAGAAAGTAATCGGCAACTGTTCTGAAAACATCCCGTTCAAACCCACTGTAAGTTGGTTGGCTCATGTCATTATTTCTAGGCCCTAAAAAGAGATGAAGAAAGAAAATTCACAAAAGTATTAACTCTCACAATTCCATTATTTAAAAAAAAAAAAAAAAAAAAAAAAAAAAAAAAAAAAAAAAAAGATTAAATACAGATGAAACAAGCTACCTTGCAACACCAATTCTAATGAATTAGGAGATGGCAGTTTTAATTACACATAGAATCAGGGAAAATTGAACTTTTGATATGATCAAACTTTATAATCATAACCACATTACCCCACACTACCCTAAAAACATAGTAGAGCAGTATTCCCCCTGCCAGTGCGAGTATTTTTAGTTTTCACTGTGTAAAGTAACTAACGCCTTAATCATTTGGTTACAGCACAGCTACCAGATGCAGAGATAAAATCTCCACTTGAGCTAATTCTCTCAAATTAGAAATTGAGAATTCAAAACACCAGAAAACTTGATTAGTTGTAATCTCATGAATACAAAGACCTATTAGTTCTAAATACAGGGCTGATGTGGGAACTATGGTATTGAAATGACCAGAGACCAGTGCTCAGCTGTATTTTCTACTTTGATTTAAATCCACTCACCCAGCTCTTTCCCATCCTGCTTTTCCTAATAGTGCTTTTCATGGAAGAGGCTCTATGTTTTGGGAAACGCAGTTAAAATTAAAAAAAAAAAAGGGTTGTTTTCACAAGAGTATGTGCTGCAAACTGAATTTCTGAAGCCAGAACCCTGCATGGACCCCTACCAGAGCTCCAGTGAGCAGAGATACATGCAGATGTATAGACACACATTATAGGTAATACAGCTTTGAGGGGAGCTAGTGAAGGAGACTGCCAGGAAAAGGGGCAAGAGCACATCAGCTCAGATTTCACTTGAGAGGCACTTATCTAACTCCAGCATGCCCCGTGAGGCATTAAAAGAGGCAGGTTTAAAAAAAAGAAAAAAAGGAAAAAAAAAATCAGAAGAGTCAGTCTAATTATGAGCCTAATTGTCGTCTGCTTCTCCAGAATCTTTTCAAAGCCTGCTTCATGAAGATGCCGCGTTTACCTAACTGCAACCTGCACATATTTGTAACAGAAAAAAAAAATCAGAAGAGTCAGTCTAATTATGAGCCTAATTGTCGTCTGCTTCTCCAGAATCTTTTCAAAGCCTGCTTCATGAAGATGCCGCGTTTACCTAATTGCAACCTGCACATATTTGTAACACAATTTCAAACACATCTGACAAAGGAAGCCTCAAAGAGAGTTAGCTTCTGTGAAGTTTCAAAAATATCAGTGTCAAACACATCTGACAAAGGAAGCCTCAAAGACAGCTTCTGTGAAGTTTCATAAATATCAGTGACACTGTAAAGGAGAAAGACTATTAGCACCACAGGGGTCTGCTACAGCACCCCCTGAAGAACAAAAACACTCCTTTTTTGGAGAGAACCCCGATCAGACCGAGACATTAGAAACCCAACTCCACTAATTTAACCTGTTCAGGTTCCAAAATTTCATATGCAGAATCAGACGATGCAGCCTAAAAGCAGGATAACCAGCTGGACTGCTACAGGACTGGTATCTTGATTACCCAAAGATAGCAATAATTTGCTATGTATTGCTTTTGCCACTTCTCAATATATTAAAGCACTGAGACTATTTCAATTTCTAAAATGAAACATCACAATTGATCTTAACGTGCAAGTATATTTCACTTTCAACTCAAGATAGGTTTCTGAAACTTAAAAGCTCTTCAGTGACTTACAGTAGGCCAGGCATTTCATAGCTGACAACACCCAGTGAGGGAGGTCTTCTAAAATAAACAAACAAGTACATTATTTATACATAAGCCCAAAGACTTAATAACTAATACAAATAATGGCACACACATAATAAATACAAAAGAGCAAATTTAAAACTAATTTAAAATATTGCTACATGTGTGTAATTTAAAATTAAATGCAATACACCTTCAAAACCTTCTAGACAAATATACTGAACTGTACTTTAGTTTGGGAAAAAGACAGACCATGAAACATATCACTTCGATTATTATTTGTTTGTTGCAATTGCACCATATAGAAGCTTTAAGCAAAATCAGAAAAATCTTACCTGATTTGTCCTGTAAAATAACAACACCATGTTTGCTCGTGTTAGTCATGTTGTATATGACGTACTCAGGAACTATCTGCCTTGGCTGCAAAACTTCTTCCAAAGATGGGAGGCCTAAGATGGTCTGCAAACTGTTGGGAGAAAGAAAGCAGATGTTGCCTAAAAGGTTTGCTAATAATGAATAAAAACAAGTTATTTCTATTCGAGCAGCAGTTACTTGATAAGCTATATAAATTCTCACTTCCAGAAGGACAGGTTGAAGATGCTTTTACCTGGGACAAACTCCAAAAACCAGTAAGAAAAAGAATCTGTGGTACTTAAAATATACTTCAACACCAGCAGCAATAAACTTCAATACATTTCTTAATGCAACAATCCTATATTAATAAATACATTAGAAAGCATATGTAAACAATAGTAAAAAAAATGTTCAACTTAAAATATAATTTTAACAATTTAAAAAAAATTTGCAAGCCAAAAGCCTGATCAGGCCACTCCATATCCAAAACTCATATACAAGAAGTTACTTTTTACAATCTATTACTTACTGTATTAGAATGATATTCCTCCAAGTTTCTTGCACGTATTCCTGGCTTATTTCATTCCTATGCAGTGTGTCTTCCTTGCTTTCCTCCATTATACTTGGGTTTGGTTTTTCTAAATTTTCCTGAAAATGAGAGGTTTATACCTTAAGATGATCAAGTCACAGGATAATTCAAAATTAAGTAAAAAAATGTCCTCAAACGTACAGGGCATTCTGCAGAACATTAAATTCCAAAACATGATCCAGGGAGAAACCTTAACAGCCTCAGCACTGAAATGTAACCATACCCAACTAAAAAGCAAAAAAGGACACTATGAAAAACCACCTAATCAAGTCAGAAAGCAGCAAGTCAAAAGATAGAAACATATAAAATCTAAGTGTATTAGTAAGTGAAATATTCTCCTTTAGGTTCACATCTAAACGCAGAAAGTATGTGTGTGCACACACAAATCTGAAAAGAATAAAGGGCCAAACACTCACATTCAATCTTTTTCAAAAGTAAGCAAAGCAGTTAAATAATTATTTGTCCTAAACAAAAAACATATTACGTTTCAACAAGGACATATTGTCTAGATAATTTCTAAAATTCCACTTTGTCCCTCCCAATACTTTAAAATACTGTAGCAGGGATATTTCTGGACTGAAGGAGACAAAACCAAACAAGAGAATCCAAAGGAAAACAAAAACCCTCCCATAGTGATGACACGAGATGCTCAATTACTTACACATATATACACAACTAAAAATCTATGTAATTTCAGATCATATTGATGCAAAATTAGACCGTTACTGCAATGGGGGGTGGAGGGTGGTGTGTGTGTGACAAATGACCTTTCTTTCTGAACAAGTAACGTGGCTGCATTAATTACTGCTCCCATTTCTCTTCCCAAACTATTGACAGTAAGTTCAGAAAAAACAGCTTCATATAGATTTTAGAGCACCCTTAATTTCTTTGGTCGAACGCATAATGCCTTTTACTTGCTACCAGCATTTCAAAAATGACGTTACAGTTAAAAGTATGATTTTGCACATGTGTACTTTGTTTGACTATTTACAGGTTATTTAATAGTATCTCTTTTTGTACTGCAAAAAAAAAAACACAGCGCAAGTCACCAAGACACTTCACTATGAAATATAGCTGTATCTCTCTATATATAAATGTTCTATTTCACTGTCTAGAAGAATCTACCAATGTATGTATTTCTTAAGCTAGAAGGGAAGATGACACAACAGAGGAGTGTCACTAAAAGATGATTCCTTCTAGTTTTATTATTTTAAGAATAAAGAACACACAGGAACTGTAATTATGTAAGAAGCATAAGTTATTACCAGAGATTGTAGTAACTCATGTCTTTTAGAAGTCGTCCTGGATAAATGCGGCAGCTTAAAAAGTCTTTCTTTGTCTCTAGAGAAGTTTTCCAAGTTCTCTTTTGGTGGACATGAGCTTGGTAGAGGTTTAACTGGGGACGTTGAAGGAAATCTGTAATGAATAGGAGAGATGTCAGATACATTTAGAATAGAGTAAAAATAAAGTTGCTTAATCAAAACCATACCCTATCAGTATGATGTGGACATGAGCTTGGTAGAGGTTTAACTGGAGATGTTGAAGGAAATCTGTAATGCATAGGAGAGATGTTAGGTACATTTAGAATAGAGTAAAAATAAAGAAGTTGCTTAATCAAAACCATCCCCTATCAGTATGACCCATAAGAGTCTGAAAAGATTCAGGAACATATTAAGAAAAATGCTGATGTTTTCTTTTTAGAACATTGTTTAACCTTAACATACTATGAAGTAGCTTTGGGCTACTCTCTTGATTCCAAAGTCAAGTTGAAAATACTCAGGTCATTATACAGCACCGACAGCAGAATTTGAGAACTGAGGGCCATTAATACCTTTGACTTTAGAACATAGAGTAGGCTCAGTTTCCCACTTCAGACTTTCTGTAAAACGTACAAGAGAAGTAAACACAGGGCTGGTAGCACAGCATGCAGCTACTACACTGAATTCTCCCTGGCTCCCCTCCAAAGCCCTTGAGCATAGCACACATGCCAGTGAAAAACTTGGCTAGACAAAAGCCCGGGACCAGCCCTTGGATACAGGGTGTGTGGTCTGTACTGCAAGTCAGAGTGAAACAGGGAGTGGAGTAAATCTGTACCAATAACTGATTTTTGGCCGAACCGATCAACCCAAGTAAGATATTTTTGAGAATCCAAGCATTAAGATTTTTAAATAAAGCTCTCAACCCAAAGAGCTCTGTTAACTGGTTTTCATTTCAGTACCTGTATAGCGCGCCATTATCTTCTAAATTTTCAGATCCCCATCTCCCTTTTATATCTTCAATTACGTGATTCTTGAGAAACTTTCGTAATAACTGAACAGTCTGCTGCCTGGTAACTTCAGGACCAAAGTTACTGTTACTCCTCAATACTTCATGGAGCCAGTCTACAGCTTCTGAGGCAGTAAAACATCTTCCATGCTTTTTGAAATGCTGCCTGTGTTTCCTTAACGGCATGCCCGCTCGAAAATATTTTGTAACTTCATTCCACTGCATGAGAAAAAAACAGCACAGAATGTAAGATCAAAGCCTGAAGCTGATCGCTGTAATTACCAATTAAAACTGCAAGATATCAATAAGCGCATAAATGAGATCACATTAATACTAACAGATATTGATAGTTATACTAAATAATGTAGAAGTGTTAACATAGGAACAGTAAATTTGAACTTCAGATTAAAAATATGTAAATATTTCATTTAGGTTTTTATATCATTCTTCTACAAATGAAAACAAGTTCAGTTTCACGCTTAAACATCACGAGTTTTATTGAACCTGCCTGCACATGCCCAGCATTTACAACTCAGTTCCCTGAGGTGCTGTCAAACCACAACCTTCAAATTTGCAGCAGCTCTCAGAGCTGAGAGGAATCCAGCTGTCAAATGGCATAAACACCAGTTTTAAATTTTGAAGCTTTTTCTTCCTTTCCCATTTACTCACACAAAATAAGGTGACATGCTATAATTAGCAGGCTCTCTGACCAAGGACTGTCACCTGATTTTCATGGCACTGCCACCACCACGGCCCCTTCCCGGGGAGGGCCTCATAGAATGGTTGGAGCTGGAACGGACCTTAAAGATCATCTCCCTCCAACCCCCCTGCCCTGGGCAGGGACACCTCCCACCAGCCCAGGTTGCTCCAAGCCCCCTCCAACCTGCCCTTGAACCCCTCCAGGGATGGGGCAGCCACAGCTTCTCTGGCCAACCTGGGCCAGGCTCTCACCACCCTCACACCAAACAAGTTCTTCCTGATATCTAATCTAAATCTTCCCTCTTCCAATTTAAAACCATCACCTCTTGTCTTGTGTTCCAATTTAAAACCATCACCTCTTGTCTTGCCACTGCACTTCCTGACAGAGTCCCTCCCTAGCTCTCCTGTAGCTCCCTTCAGATATCGGGAGGCTGCTATAGGGTGCCTTAAATGGCATGACAGGGGCCGCGGGGGGCAGACACCCCCACCTCCCGTCCCACAGCACCCGGTTTTCCACAGCGAGCCCAAGGGCCACGGCAGAAATTTACCTCAGCAGAAGGGTTACGATTAATTTGTGCTTAGCCCGTGAGGGAGAGGCCCCGGCGGAGGGAGAGGCCCACTTCCTTCCCGCCCCACAACCCCGCACCGAGCCCGCCCGCAGACCCTAACCGGGAGCCAGGCCGCCCCGGCCGGCTCCGCACCCCCGCTCCACACCGTCCTCACCAGCCTGGTGGCGCGGTAGGGCGCCGGGGCCACCGGCCGCCCCTCCATGATCTCCGGGCGCAGCCCCACCGGGGCGGCCACCGCCCTCCCCGCCCAACGGCCGCACCGCCGTTTGAATTCGCTGCGCGAGCCGCCCGCGGCCGCCGATTGGGCGAGGCGGGCGGGCACGTGCCGCCTGAAGTGACGCAGGCGCCAGGGAGGGCGGCTCCCTCCTGAGAGGAGGGGAAGGGCCGGGGGAGCGGGCGGTGGCTGCCGGGAGGCTGGGGGGCTCCTGGGTAGCTGCAGGGATATGGCGGCATCCCTCAGACCCTGACAGACGGGCGTGTTGATGAGGATCACAGCATGGTGTGGGTGGGAAGGGAGCTTAAAGGTCGTCTCATTCCACCCCCTGCCCTGGGCAGGGACACCTCCCACCAGCCCAGGTTGCTCCAAGCCCCCTCCAACCTGCCCTTGAACCCCTCCAGGGATGGGGCAGCCACAGCTTCTCTGGCCAACCTGGGCCAGGCTCTCACCACCCTCCCACCAAACAAGTTCTTCCCCACATCTCAGCTCCATCTCCCCTCTTGCAGGGTCCAACCCTTCCCCCTCCTCCTAGGGCTCCCCTCCCTCATCCAGAGTCCCTCCCCAGCTTTCCTGGAGCCCCCCTTCTTTAGGGACTGGAAGGTCTCCCCGGAGCCTTCTCTTCTCCAGGCTGAACTCCCCAACTCTCTCAGCCCCCCCTCCCAGCAGAGGGGCTCCAGCCCTCCCAGCATCTCCAGGGCCTCCTCTGGTCCCGCTCCAACAGCTCCATGTCCTTCTGATGGTGGTGACCCCAGAGTTTTGGGGGTGTCTCCCCAGAGCAGAGGGGCAGAATCCCCCCCGGCCCTGCTGGCCATGGTGCTGGGGATGCAGCCCAGGGTGGGGGGGGTTCTGGGCTGCCAGCCCATGTTGCTGGCTCCTGGGGAGCTTCTTATCCACCAACACCCCAAGGCCTTCTCCTCAGGGCTGCTCTCAGTCCATTCTCCACCCAGCCAGGATTTGTGCTTATGTTTGCCCCAACCCAGCTGCAGGTACAACAGTCACAGGTCAGCCCAGAGCAGCCATTTAAAAGCTTGCATCTTCTCAGAATCTCACCTTGGTTACTTGTTGCGATGAGGAGGGAAAAAAAAAGCCAACTTGGGTTACGTGTCTTAATTTGGTTTTCAGAGCGCTTTCACAGGCAGCACTTCAAGAGGCAGGTGTGGCTTACGCCTTCCTTTGGTCCTGTGAGACTGGCACAGAGCTTACACACAACTCTGAACAGCTACAGTGACTGTTTTCAGAAGAAAAACACTGTTTTTAAAGCTACCCTGTTGCATCCTGTGGCTTTCCTACAGATACAGGTATAATAAAGGCAACCCTCCACCCCCAAAAAACACCCAAACCAACCAACCAAAAAAATGCCCAAGAAATATTTCAATAGCACAGCTTTTACAGTTTCAGGTTTTTTTTAAAAAAGCATTCTTTTCTCAGGGCCTGCAGACCAAGTATACATGTAACCTGGGAGCTATAAATACCCCAAAAGCCTTTTATCTTCTCCTGATACAGCCATCCATTGCTCAGAAATTTTAACTTTCATCACTTAGACTTCTTTTACAGCCACTAAAGACACACAAGCACCTCAGATGCTTTTATAAGAGGAGGTAAAAACCATCACCACTGGGAGAAAACGCCCCAGCTTAACGAGCAGGTTTAAGCAATAAAACCCAAAGCTGCAACTCAGGGAAAAAGAACAGCAATAGAAAAGCCAAAGCACCAGAAACGTGCAGCAGACCCAGGGCTAGAGCTGCACTGAGGAAACCCATTTCTCCACTGCACACACTGCAAAGGGAGGGGTGGGTATTCTCCTCTTATATGCTTAAGAAATCAGCTGCAGGAGCCAGTCAAAGCTGTCTCCTAATAACTTCCCCCTCGATCCCTGGGCTGTGGCACCTGCTGGTAAGCCGGCAGTTATTGACTTAACGAGTCAGAATAGCAAACAATTCGAAATTCAGTGGAGCTGTGCGATTTCACTTACACCTTGCAGCTGATTACAAGAAGAAATGTGGATTCTGTCGCCAGATTCAAAACCTTTAAAGATGCTCTTCATCATTTATATATCTCAGCAACTCGCCTCCTGTTTTCCTTTCCAAAAAAATTGCTTGATGAGTGGTTGCCAAGACAGAAAGCATTAGATTTTTACTGACCCCTGGCTCTAAGCCTGTTCAAGAATGGAAATCAATTTATTGATTATCTCAGGGAAATCTCCACGACTAAAACCTGCGGAAAGTGATGACTACAACTGTTCCGCTCTGGATTGTTTCCCGTATTCCCTCTCTTGGGTCGTTTAAAATAATATAATGCTTCGTGTATTTACGTTCAACCCCCTGCCTATGGATGATCTAATACGCTTTGTAAAACTTCATATCTTAGATGCAGTAAAGAGATTTTAGGGAGATGTCTGGTGAATATAGTAAAAATGATAATCTGAATAGTCTGGGAATCATTACAGTCCATCTTCTTCATTCTAGTGTAAGCAGAGTTACGCTGTTGTAGCCTCGAGTGTTTTAATTAGTTTCCTAGGAGACAAAAAGTGGAGTTCTTTCTGCTTTTACAATTCGATTTCAAGTCTATTCTTGCTTGCAGGTTTCCCTACTTAAGGAAAAATGACTTCAGAGAGGCAGGTGTGCTGTATTTTTATCGCTACACCGTGGTGAATAGATGCAATCAACTGGAGATACAAGCGGTCTTTTAAAATGATTGGAGGGAACCTTCAGGTCACTAAAAATATTCTTAGAGCTGGTTTTATGGATTTACAATGAGATTTCCTCATTTTTTCGGTGGTTTTCTTCCCTGTACTCTCATTAGAGCATACCAAACAGGTGCTGTGTGCCTGTACGAACACCAAGCCAGCTGAGCTGGAGGGGGGCATCGGTGTAACTCTTCACATACAAAGTTCTGCAAAACCTCATTTTTTCGGTGGTTTTCTTCCCTGTACTCTCATTAGAGCATACCAAACAGGTGCTGTGTGCCTGTACGAACACCAAGCCAGCTGAGCTGGAGGGGGGCATTGGTGTAACTCTTCACATGTAAAGTTCTGCAAATCATGTGAAGGAAAATAACAGGAAAAGTAAAGCATTATTTTCTGTTTCCCCTTTGATTGTTTGATGTTGGTGTCTTCTAATAGTAATGGTAGAAGGTAAAATAAATAGAGATTAATAGAGTTAATTTAAAATGCCAAGGATCTGTCTGTCCCTCTGGATGTTTTTTTCGCTGTGTGTGTTACTTAAAGGAAGAAGTGTGTGCTGTATGCGCCGTGGGTCTTTGTTTTACTAGTTCTAGATAGGAATAAAGCCATCTAATAGTAATGGTAGAAGGTAAAATAAATAGAGATTAATAGAGTTAATTTAAAATGCCAAGGATCTGTCTGTCCCTCTGGATGTTTTTTTCGCTGTGTGTGTTACTGAAAGGAAGAGGTGTGTGCTGTATGCGCCGTGGGTCTTTGTTTTACCAGTTTTAGATAGGAATAAAGCCAATTGGAAGTACTTAAGATTGGTCTCCTGACGTTTGGTGCAGCTGAATTAACATTCTTGCCCTCAAGTCCAAATAGAAAGGGGATTTTTAAAAGTAAAGGGGTGGATTATGGAGGCTTCCAGTGGTAATATAAGTATTTGGTGTTGTGTGAGCTGACACAGGCAGGGCGCAGGGACAACCACAAAACCAGGGGTGAAATGCAAAGAGTGAATTTAATCCCGATAGCTCGGGAAGCGGGGATGTTGGAAGCAGCACCTGGGCAGAGGCACCCAAGAGGGAACGTGGGGTGAGAGAGCCTGGACCTGATGCTCTCGCCTGCTTATCAGGGATTCCAGCAGGCCTTCGTTTTCCACTGTGCTTTCATCTTCTCTGACAGCAGGGCAGGAATCCCAGGCATGTTTGATAAGGTGCCCCAGAGTCCATCACGGCCGGTGTTATCTCAGCGCAGATGTTCTACCTGCCAAGCGCACAAGACTAAACAGGGATTAGTGTGATATATGTGTTTTCTGATGCCCCAGCTGCAAATCACCTGAACATATTTACAGTCCTCCTGGCCGATCTACCTTCACTTTCCCACAGTGAAGGGAAAGGAATTCCATTAAGGAATACAAATACACACACATTTACAGACGGTTTGTGGGGATGCTGCCGTAAATGGGGTGTTCTTCCCCTTGGAAGTGTTGTGGTGTCCAGAGACCTTGGTGGCACTTGACACGTTAACCCAGCACGGACTGTGCTCTTGGAGCTTCCAGAGAAAGAAAATTCAGTTGCCTGTGTCCAAACCAACAGAGATTCCAGGCCCACATCCCAGAGCAGACACAGCCGGTGACCAGCAGGACTATTTCTTTGGCCCCTGTATTTATGACTTTCTCTTTACCACTGCTAAGCCATTGGTTTTGGTCCCTGGTAAAGAAAAGCACAGATGATTGTACAGCAGCCATGGTAGTGCTGCTGGTGGGACAATCAGGAGCTGGGGTGGTGGATTCAAGTCTCTGAATTTGCTGGTTTAAGCACAGTGGGAAGGAAAAGCAAGAATGGGGCCCGGCACAATGTTTGTGAAGCTGTGAAGATGCTTTGTTAATGCCCTGGCGCTGCTGGTGGGACAATCAGGAGCTGGGGTGGTGGATTCAAGTCTCTGAATTTGCTGGTTTAAGCACAGTGGGAAGGAAAAGCAAGAATGGGGCCCGGCACAATGTTTGTGAAGCTGTGAAGATGCTTTGTTAATGCCCTGCTGCTGTTCTTTCATGCACCTCTCTTTAAATTCTGATTTTAGGGGGGATAGCTTCTGCACTTCCAGCAGGCGAAACAAATTGCCTGCTATTTAGTGGAATGAAACAAGAAGCATAAAAATGCGTAACAGTTGAAAGATATGGGTCCTTAACGCGACGTTCTCATTGTGTCATGGAGATAACAAGATAAGAACTCAGCCGTTTACATTTCTGGATGCAACATTTAAGCAATTTTTTTCTTCCCCCAAGAACATTATGTATTATTCTTTGAGGATATTAAACAGTGAGGCCTGGATTTAGGTTTTTTGTTTTGGTTTTTTTTTTTAATGTGTAGTACAGACTTTGTAAGAGCAACATTTTGTAGACAAAG